AAAAAAAAAAAAAAAAAAAAAAAAAAAAAAAAAAATGGCAAAGGAACAGAATAGACATTTCTCCAAAGAAAATATATGAATGGCCAATGAGAACATGAAAAGATGCCCAACATCATTTGTCAGTAGGGAAACACAAATCAAAACCACAATGAGATAACACTTCAAACCCATTAGGATGGCTAGTACAGAAAAAAAAAAGAAAGAAAGAAAAATAATAAGTGTTGATGAGAATCTTTCAGTGGAGAGACTGAAACTCTTGTGCACTGCTGATGGAACTGTAGAATGGTGCAGCCACTGTGGAAAACAATTTGGTAGTTCTTCAAAAAGATAAACACAGAACTGCTATATGATTTAGCAATTCCACTTCTAGATATATACCCAAAAGAACTGAAAGCAGGGACTAAAACAGATACTTGTACACCAATGTTCATGGTAGCATTATGCATAATATCAAAAAGGAGAAAACAACTCAAATGTTCATCAACAGGTGAATGGGTAAAGAAAATGTGATGCACACATGTGTGCACACACACACATTATTATTCAGCCTTATAAAATAATTAAATTCTGATGTATACTACAACACGAATGAATGTATGCCAAGTGAAATAAGCCACACATAAAAGGACACATATGTTGTGATTCTACTTATATTAGAANGGTGCAGCCACTGTGGAAAACAATTTGGTAGTTCTTCAAAAAGATAAACACAGAACTGCTATATGATTTAGCAATTCCACTTCTAGATATATACCCAAAAGAACTGAAAGCAGGGACTAAAACAGATACTTGTACACCAATGTTCATGGTAGCATTATGCATAATATCAAAAAGGAGAAAACAACTCAAATGTTCATCAACAGGTGAATGGGTAAAGAAAATGTGATGCACACATGTGTGCACACACACACATTATTATTCAGCCTTATAAAATAATTAAATTCTGATGTATACTACAACACGAATGAATGTATGCCAAGTGAAATAAGCCACACATAAAAGGACACATATGTTGTGATTCTACTTATATTAGAAACCTAGAATAGGCAAATTCATTGAGTCAGAAACTAGGATAGAGGTTATCAGGAGCTAGGGGGAGAGACAAATGTGGAGTTATTGTTTAACAGGTTCAGAGTTTCTGTTTGTCATGATACAAAAAGTTCTAGAAAGGAATAGGGCTGACAGTTGCACAGCATAGTGAGTGTACTTAATGGGCTGAATTGTACATGTAAAAATAGTTTAAATGCTAATTTCACGTCATGTATATTTTACCACAAAAAAATGAGGAATTTTGAGTGATAAAATTAAATGATCAGAGCCCTGCTTAAGAAAACCAATCTTGCAATAACATGTCATG